ACGAATGCCGTTAACACGTGCGTTTTACGAAGGGAACGGGGCCGTTCTTGTTTTTCGGGGCCGCCTGGTGGGTAAACTTGCACGGGTTATGAGGGGTCTTGGAGGCATCGCGTTGGCTGCTTAGGGGCCTCTTTGGGGTCTCGGGGGTCCTCTGGGGGCGCGGGACTGGCAATTCCAACTGGATTGCCCCATCTTGGGCTCCTGTAGGAGCCCTCCGGGAGACCGTTGGGGCCGTCTTGGGTGCCTCTGGAACCGGCCTGGGGCCCTCTTGGGCCGTCCTGGCGCCCTCTGAGGGGCCTCTTGGGCCCTGTAGGGTCGATATCAGGGGCCCCTGAGGTCGTCAAGGATGGTGCGGACACGAAAAACATGCATACGGTAATTATGTGCGTTTTACAACGGGAATGTGGCTATGTTTGCCTCTCGGGGCCCTCGTGGAAAGCAAATTGCACGGGTGATGAGGCGTCTTCGAAGCCTCAGGGGCCGTTAGAAACGCCCCGTGATCCGTCGAAGCCTTCTTCAAGGTGGTGTGTGGCTGGCTGGGGCCGCCGCGACGCTCATCGGACCGTCCTCCGAAGCGATTTGGGCCCCCCCTGGGGCCTCCTGGGGACCTCTTAGGGCCTCCTGGGAGCCCCTGGGGCGGAAAACTCGGAATTTGAATGTGGTTTCCCACCTCTGGGACCCCTGTGGGGCTCGTCCTGGGGCTCTCTTTGGCGGTCTTGGGGGCCTCTCGGGCCGTCTTGGGACCGTCTTGGGTCGTCTTGGAGCCCTCTTGAGGGCCTGTGGGGCAGTCTTGGGGGCTTCGGGAGAGTGTTGGGGCGTTTGGGAGGCCTCTTGGGGTGTCTCGGGGGCCATTTTGAGCGTTTCGGAGCGGGCCGTGCGTCTTGGAGCGGCCTGTGGGCGTCGCGGGTCCCCCTTGGAGCGTTGTATAGTATTTTGGCGTTTCTGGCGGCGTTTTGTGGGCCTCCGGGGCCCCCCGAGGGCCTGCGCGCACACATTTGCGGTAGAGATCGCGGCCCCGGGGGCTCGGGCCCCAGTGCGCCGTTATATGTATGTGTGCATGTATGCATGTGTGTATGTCTGTCTGTATGTATGTATGTGCGTATGATTGTTTGGGTATGTGTATGTTTGTCTGTATATGCACATATACAGCAACAACAACAGCAACAACAACAACGACGACAACAACAGCAACAACATCAACACACACATTACGTAACAATAACACATAGAACACAGGCCTCCATAATGCGCCTTGGGATCTTTGTCAGGTCCATCTCGAGGCCACCAGAATGTGCCTCCAGGCATTTCGGGCATCATGGGGAGCCAACTGGCCCTCCGCAGAGGCACCACAGGGCTTCAAGTCGGCACGTGCCTTACGCAATCCGTGCCGTTTTACGATCCTCTTCCTCGCCCTGTCCTTGTCGTACCCCTCTGTATCGTCAAGTTCGTTTTCTTCTCTGTGCCTTTCTGTTGTTCCTCTTTGTCTCCCCTGCCCGGCGCCCCCCTGGCCCCCCGCCCCGCCCCTCGTTCGCCCCCCCCCCCGGTGGCGGCGGCGGTGCAACCGCAGCCCCCATGCAGCAACGCAGATCGGCCTGCAACGCGTTCTCTTTCGCTCTTCGGCTAGGTGAACTGACGCGACGCCAGTCGTTCCCGCGTCGAGTGAGGAGCCTCAAGCTCTGCCCAGACAAGCCAAGCACACGGCAGAGCGAGGCTAACACCGATGATGAACGGAACAGAAAAAGTCCGCGCGCGACAGTCCACGCGATGGGACAAGGCGGGACCAGGGCCGAACATGCAAAGAAACTACGATATAATCCTTGCCTGTGAAGGAGCGAGCTCAGGTTCTGAAAGAGAAACAAATCTCCCCAGCGCTCGGGGGCGTGAGTGGTTTAGAACGCGTCTTCTTCCAAACCCCTTTTCTCCCCTTCTCCACCTGGACCTCCACGGGGGGGGGGGGCGCGCGGGTCGTTGAAGCATCCTAAATGGCCTCGGCGAAAAGCCAAACTCACTGGTTCAATCAAAGTGTTGGCCACATTGCGGCCTCCTGCGGGGGGCTAAGCCTCCCTCCTTGGATCAATCCCCCCAACGTGGCCCCGCGATGGCCCCAGGCCTGCAAAGGGTGCCCCACGACGGCCTCAGGAAATGTCCAGGAAGCCTCAAGGGGACCCCAAAAGGCCTCCAACATGTTTCCAAGAGGCCCCAAAAGGCGCCTTCGAGGCCCCTACTCCTCCTGTCCCTCCGGTTCCTCCTCCATCCCCCTGCTCCTCCTGCACCTGTTCCTATTCGATTCCGCCGCGCGTTCCTCCGCGTCCCCGATCTGGGCAACTCGTCCAGGCAGCGTTTCTGGATGGGCTGCTGGGTTTTCATCCTCCTATTCGTCCTCACCTTCATCATCCGCATCCTCGTCATAGCCATCGTCATCATCAACATCATCATTCATACAAGCCTCACCGTAATCATCATACTCATCATCATCACCACCATCACCATCAGTAAAGGT